TAGTACAAGTTTACAAGACCTTTTTCATCCAAATATGGTTTCATTTGCGATATTGGATAGTATGCTTTGTTGAGTTTTTGTATATGCATGAATTATCTGGGCACTAAAAGGAAGTTGTGAGGCGATGAAGGTTCCTCACACTTTGACATTCTTGGTGAAAGAAAGTTTTTCTGGTAAATAGAAGTTTGAAGGCACCGCGCGGCGGTGATAAAAATTGATACATTCTGATTTTCCTTTGTTCAATATGACTATGTTTCGCTGGCACCATCTCACGTCATCTCATTATAGGTGAATACTGTCTGTAGGTTAATCGGGAAGGTGGTACATTCATTATTCCAAATTATTTGGGATTTTCTCTCCTAGGTTCTATAAAATAAAAATATGAATATCATTTCAATATACGTGTAGTTAGGACAAATCAGATGATTTGCCCCAAAATGTCACTGCGTTTGAAGAATTTTCCTATCAGAGAGCCTGAAAGCAGAATTCACTAGCTCGTCAGTGACAATTCATATTGAAAAAAGTTTGGAGAAGAGAAATAAAGGTATATAGAAAAAATATCAAATTTTCACTTATCTTCGGACGTTTCGAGACCGAATCTGGTAGCGTTTTCAACATAGGGAATGAATATTTCAATAGCAAAGTCGTATCTGTCTTGGAGCTTTCCAGTTTTTATTGACAATTGGTGACGTTGGCAATCCAATGAGTTACAGGATGTTTTCATAAGTACAATATGAAGAAAAGACACATCGATAAATCGAAAGTAGCTGAACATATCCTTACTGAAGTCGGACAACTTATGGCAGAGTGGAATAATATTGAAATCATTGGAAAAGAAGATAACAACCAGAAGAGAAAAATCAAGGAATCTGCTTGCATTCTTTTGAACGGAAACGATAGCATTGCTTCTTGGTCAGTTGATATAGACAGAACATGGTATTCACTATTGAAATCTGAACATCAAAATGGTGAATTCAAGATAAATTAATGAAAACATCCTGTAACTCATAAGATTGCCAACGTCACTAATTGTCAATGAATACTGAAAAGCTTCAAGACAGATACGACTTTGCCATCGAAATAATCATTTCTTATGTTGAGAACGGGAGCAGATTTGGTCCCGAAACGTAAGAAGATGAGTGAAAATTTGATATTTCTTCTATATACCTTCATTTCTTTTCTACAAACTCTTTTCAATACAATACAAAGCTGGTGAATTTTTCTTTTAGGCTCTCTGATAGGAAAATTCTTTGAAAGCAGTGACATTTTGGGGCGAATCATCTAATTTGTCTTTACTACACGTATATTGGAATGATATTCATTCATTATTCCAAATTTTGTAGGATTTTCTCTCCTCGTTTCTATAAAATAAAAATATTATTATTATTTCAATATACGTGTAGTAAGGACAAATCAGATGATTTGCCCCAAAATATCACTGCGTTCAAAGAATTTTCCTATCAGAGAGCCTAACAGAAAAATTCACTAGCTTGTCAGTGACAATTTGTATTGAAAATTTGATATTTTTTCTATATACCTTTATTTCTCTTCTCCAAAATTTTATCAAAACAAATTGTCACTGACAAGCTAGTGAATTTTTCTTTTAGGCTCTCTGATAGGAAAATTCTTTAAACGCAGTGACATTTCGGGGCGAATCATCTGATTTGCCCTTACTACAGGTATATTGAAATAATATTCATATTTTTATTTTATAGAAACGAGGAGAGAAAATCCCAAAAAATTTGGATTAATGAATGTACCACCTCCTCGATCAACCTACAGACAGTATTTAATGATATTCATATTTTTATTTTATAGAAACGAGGATAGAAAAACCCAAGAAATTTGGAATAATCATTATAGGTACCTTCAATGTTTTCATGTAACTCCTCTAGGGTCGCTGCTGATACAGTTATAGTAGTATCATCCGCAAACAGTGATTTTACCTGATATTTCTTGGTAGACCATTTGCAAAATTATTGAAAATGATGATGAAAACTGATCCCTGGATAATACCAAGGGGAACCTTGTGACTTTCTGACATGTCATCTCCGTTTTTATCCAATAATTTTCCATTTGTTAAATAGCAGTGAATCGAATCCAACATGACTTCTTTAATCCCAATGGTGCAAAGGTTCTCAAGAATACATTCAAAGTGTATTTTGTTTAATGCTTTAGACAAAACCAAACATCAATGAAGCAACATATCTTCCACAATCTAACTCGTGATATAAGTACATAGTCCTATAAAAGGTGGTTTGTTGCCGTTTCTACAGATTCACATTTCCTGAAACCGGTAATGAATTCATCATATGATCATTAGTAATCGTCGTTGTTTTTAGGGTGTGTATCAATCCATATCATTCTCTCACAAAGCTCAAAAACGAATGGACCACACTGATTCACTGTACAGGGTGGCCAACTAAGACTCCAGAGTTCGATTTCTCTGTTGTCTTGAGATATACAAGAAAAATTCATGAATCAAAATTGAAGTAATAACCGAGCTTCACATTTCAAAATCTCTTTGAAATACACAGGGTGTTCCGTAAGGTCACAGCATATCAAAGCTATGTTTTTTTCATCGGAACACCCTATATTTTATTTCATTTTTGAATTCTTCCTGAAGATCTGATTTCAACGACCCATCATACTTAGGGTCTAGCAGTGAAAGTTACTGACATATAGGGTGTGCAAAATCGAGATTTTCCCAGTTCAGAATTTTTTTCTGTCGAAGCTGTTCATTATTCGTCAAAACGGTCTACATGTCCCTATCTCAACTTTCCACTCACTATCAATTGGTGTTCAATTGAAATTGATACAAGGTGGTCAAAAAATCTAAATTTATAATTTATTTCAATTAAATGTCAATTGAACACCAATTGATGGTGAGTGAAAAGTTGAGATAGGGACATGTAAACCGTTTTGACGAATAATGAATAGTTTCGACAGAAAAAAATCCTGAACTTGGAAAATCTCGATTTTGCACACCCTATATGTCAGTAACTTTCACTGCTAGACCCTTAGTATGATACGACGTTGAAATCAGATCTTCAGGGAGAATTCAAAAATGAAATAAAATATAGGGTGTTCCAATGAAAAAAACATAGCTTCGATGTCCTGTGACCTTACGGAACACCCTGTGTATTTCAAAGAAATTTTGAAATGTGAAGCTTGATTATTACTTCAATTTTGATACATGACTTTTTTTTGTATCTCTCAAGACAACAGAGAAATCGAACTCTGGAGTCTTAGTTGGCCACCCTGTACAAAACAAGAAACATTAACCGCAATCCTCCATTGTTGTAGTTGTAATCGCGAATAGTAATACGCTATACCTATTATTGATTGTTTCAGTATCCACAAATATTCAGCTATAGCACATTCGTCAAAGATGGAGTACCATCGCAAGGAAAACTGGACACCGTCTCCCGACTTACGCTTTGTGGAGAAGGCTGGACCAAGTATGAAAGCAAGAACGACAAAATCGCCAAGTATAGCGAACCGAGCTCCACCCTCTGTACCTGAAACCACGCTAATAACAAAACAAATTTGATCCCTCTTATGTTATCAATTGTTCGCAATTTGAGATTTTTCTATTATGTTCTGGTTCCTTCTAAATGGATATCCTGTAATGTAATATGGTAGGGATTGGTGTTCTTCTTAAATTCTGGAGGTTATATGCCTTGGAAAACACATCCCTTGTCAATGTGTTCCAGAGCCTCGCTGTTCGTTGAATGAACGAGTCTTTGAAAAGGGATGTTCTGCAGGTCCCCAAAGTGACCACGAAGGGATGCGAAGCCTCAACTCGACGGGTTAATCTCGCGGGGACTGCCAAGGAAGGAACAATTGTTGATATTTCAGAAGAGCATCTTCTATGAAAATATCTATAAAATAGAGCCAGATCGTCAACTTTCGTACGGTGTTCCAGAGGAGTGAGTGAGTTTGTGAGCGAGGCATCACTCACGAGACGAATCGCCCTTTTTTGAACAGAATCCAACTGTTTCAGGGATGTTTGGGTGCTGCACTCCAAATATAGGAACAGTATTCCAGGACAGGTCGGATCTGTGCCTTATAGATCATAAGCAGCAGACTGGACTGGCTCGAAACAAAAAACGAAGTTTTTGGGATGCACTTTCATAAATTGATCTCACGTGATTTTCGCAAAAAAGTTTATTGCTGATAGTAATACCAAGCACTGAAATGGATGTCTGTAAAGGTATGGTTACTCCTGACAAGCTCATATTGGGTACAGTGAGATCGGCTTTTCTAGAGGAAAGGCATGCTTGTGTTTTGTTTGCATTGGAATCTACCAAATTATTGGATCCCCATTCAAGAATTGTTGCCAAGTCCATATTCATGTCGTCAACATTTCTCCATCTTTCGTTTTTGATTTGCCTGGCTGGTATTGGAGCCCTGGAAGAGAAGGTGGTATGCAGGGTACTATCATCCGCGAAGCTGTGTACTGGACATGGAGTTGCTTTCAACAAATCGTTGATATGGAGTAGAAATAGTGTTGGTGCTAGAATTGATCCTTGCGAAAACCAGCATTTATGGTGAGAGACTCAGATGAAACTCCGTCGACCACTACATGGAGAGACCTGTTTGAGATAAAACTTGCTAGCAGAGAACATAGCTGGGGAGGCAAGCCATAAGATGGAAGCTTGGCGTGGAGTCCGTGGTGCCGTATTCGATCGAATGCCTTGGAGATGCCAAGTGGCACGGCTAAGGTTTCACCATACTTTTCAATAGATTGCTGCCGTATATGAGAGACGTAAGCGAACAGGTCACCAGTTGATCTCTGATCTCGGAAGCCATATTGCCTATCGTTGATAATACCCGAATATTAATGAGAACAAGGATCAGTTGTTCCTTATTATTATGTTGTCCGAACGGATGAATATAGTACGCAACATTTCCGGATTTTTTTCCTTTCGAACTTCTTACGTAGATTATCTACCATTTTATTCGTCACAACTTCACCTCGCTATCCATTGTTTCAGTATCCGGAGATATTCAGCTACGGCAACTTCGTCAAGGATGAAAAACCGACGCAAGAAAAACTGGACAACACCGTCTTCCGACTAATTCTATGTGGAGAAGGCTGGACTAGTTCTGAAGGCAGGAACGTTAGGGACACTCAGTACAGCGAACTGTGCAACGGTCGTATCGTTGGCCAGGTTTCGGGTAGAAACCCTTGGTACGGTACCACAGCCCTTTGCCTGGTCGCAGCTGGGGTTATTGTAGCCACAGAAAGTAACAAGATGCCGTCAAGGTAATGTTACTCTGGTCAATAAGTCGCTTTATTGATATACGAATTGAGAAGAATGTCAATTCTCAATTTCGGAGGATTTTATTCTTTATTTTTCATGTTCCCTTTTGAATGTTCATCATATATAATTCAATGTTCGACGTGGCAAATAGCCAGGAAAGTAGTTGTTTTCTGTTGAATATTCAGAATGATGTGTGTATATACATATGTTTGTCTGAAGGAGGATGCAAATTCTCAATTTCAGAAATTTTTATATTTTATTTTCAAACTCTTTTCGTGTGTGTTCAATAGATATAATTCAATGTTCGTCGTGGCATATAGCCAGGAAAGTAGTTGTTTTCTATTGAATTAACTGAAAAAGAGTAAATATTCTCATCACATAGAGAATGCGAATTCTCAATGTATTGCTTTATATCAATATATATCCTTTTTTGTATGTTCATAATTCATCTGAGAATATTCCTTTTCAACACTTTCATACCCAATCAGGGGGTTCAAACTTGAACGATGGAAACTTGTGATTTTTATAGACCTCTAATCGCAGATTCGTGATAGAGTCTCAATTCAGAATTCATTTCCACGCCCTGTATGATGAATGTCAATTTATCATACACCCAAAAGTATACTATTGAATTTTTATGTTCATTTTATTGCTTGAACAGGACGAATTCATTGAAAATGCTGCAATATAAGAGTGTGAATATTTATTTGTGAATTCTAGTCATCAGGACGGTTATTATATGGTATCTTCAATGTTGCCAACAGCCAATTTTGAAAGCGACTAGATAACTGTTGAAAAATAGCAAAATTATGGCTAAAAATAAAAGCACGCCGTATGCGAAATTTTTATTAGCAAATTCTTGGCAAATCTAACAACTTTTCGCAATTTTTCAGCAACTAATCTGGCCCTGAACTACGAATCTGACAATAAAAATCAATTCTCATTCAATATTTAATAGACCATGGAATACAATCTCTACTCTAGACTCTAGTAGTATTGACATAGAAATGCAGACTGGTCTGAATTTCCTGAATATGATAATATTTCTATGGAAGGTCAGAATAAAAACTAGCTAGAAAAATGGATGAATGGCTAGATGCAATTTTTAGTAGCTAGACGATCAAAAATCTCTAGAACAAGCCATAAATGGCCGAGTTGGCAGCACTGGGTATCTTAGCAGTAGGTTACACTTTGCAGGTATACACTCAGCTGGTAGTTCAGGAAGTAGGATATTAGGCAGAAATAATCAATCAATACTATATATAAAACGACATCAAGAATCATCCACATTCGATTCATTCCAACTACTACTCCACTACTCTGCAGTATAACCACATTTTCAAATGGGCTAGGACGACCATTTCATGTTGAATATATGTAGTGTAAGTGTGATTTTCAAGTAGTTCAGACAGATATGTGATTTACTTCTCGGATACCTTGAAGAAAGATATGGAACCATAGATATGAAGTCCATGGCTGCTCAAAGTGGAGTAAAGTATTACTATTATTCAGCAGTTGATGAAGTTTTTGGTCCGTATATTGATGAATTATTGAAGACACATAAATAAGTGAATATTGTCATGTGGACATTTTCCATAGTCTAGGGACCTTTTAATTATATGTAGTCTATTTGTAATCAGCATAGACAAATCTTGATATGAAACTTTGTGTATTCGGTTCTGTACAACACAATCAAAACACAATGTATTTTATGAACTGGTGTCAATGTTGATTATTCAAATGAAATTCATATCAAGTTGATGTTTGACTATTAGAGTTGGTACCTACCTACTCTTTTTTAAATAAAAAAATGAAAAAAGTTGAAAACGAATGTAGAAACTTTGTGTTGTAAGTAAGTAAGTAAGTAAGTAAGTGAGTACTTTATTTGACCACGTTAATGTATACACATTTTGCAGCAAGTCAGGTTAAAAGTCGATAACTGAGTGATTCGTGATATATGAGATATCAAGTGAGTTAACAAGATACATACAAAAAAATAATATAGATGAAAATACAGATAGAAAGACGATACTAAACAAATAATGCACAGACTAGTTTCGAAACAAAGATATTTCCAGGACAATGATATTTTTAGGAATATTTTGTGGTCAGTGAAGATGGTCATATGACGGAGGGGAGTCTATGTACTCTGACAGAATAAAAACATGATTTTGTCAGAAATTGTCTCACCCATTTTTTGAATTTATTACCCTCCATGTTTGTAACATGAGTGGGTAGGTGATTATATAGATTTATGTTGAGCGAGTTTCTTGAAGATCTTGCCAACCTGTACCGGGGGGGCCTAACTTGGCCTGAACCTCGAGTATTATAATCATGGAAATGGGAATCAAGTTGTAGTTTATCCTTATTGTTATGGATTTCCAGCACTTGATGGTATATATAAAGGGCTGGTAATGACATAATACCATATTGTTGGTAAAAAGACCGACAGTGGTCTCTATATCCAGCATTCGCGATAACTCTCACTATTCTTTTTTGTAGTTTGAAGACTTTGAATGAATCCATAGAATTTCCCCATAAGATTATTCCATACGATAAATGAGAATGTAATAATGAATAATACATAGTCAGAAGAACTTCTATATTGATCACTCGTCTCAGTTGTCTCATGATGAAAATCGAACTGGAAAGTTTAGAACAAAGTATTCTTATGTGTTTTGACCAGTTTAATGAATCGTCAAGAGTAACTCCTAGAAGTTTGACAGTGTCTCCGTGGTGGACTTTCGATGAAAATGTAATGCGATTTGTTTTGCTATCATTGAGTTTTAACTTGTTTGCAGAAAACCAGTATTCGGCCTCCTTTTCCGAAGTTAGAGTAGAATTTATGTGGCAAGTGTTGGTGGGATTGGAGTTTATTAGCGTTGCATCGTCTGCGAATAGAATGCAAGTTTTGAAAAATCGTTGATATAGATGATAAATGAAAGTGGCCCCAAGACAGAGCCTTGGGGTACACCATGATTTATATCTTCGAGATCAGAGGTTTTCCCATTTAGGCTAACACATTGTTTCCGATTTGTCAAATACGTGAACAACAAATCCAATGGTTTCCCCCTGATGCCATAGCGTCGTAATTTATCAATCAGTAATTCGTGGTTAACACAGTCGAAGGCCTTGCTGAGATCGCACAAACTTAAAGAAGTTTGGCAACTGCCCTCAAAGCCCTCAACAATGTTGTTTATTACCCTCGAAATTGCCTGAATAGTGGATCGGTTTTTACGAAATCCATACTGGTTCTCATGTAAAATTTCGAATTTATCAAAGTAGGTTGATAAGCGATTTTTTAAGATAATTTCAAAAATTTTTCCGAGGAACGGAATCACAGATATGGGGCGAAAATTTCCAGGATCGTTCAAATCGCCAGATTTATGAATTGGAACAACTTCACTGTATTTGAAGATATCAGGAAATACTCCTCCAACTATGCACATATTGTAGAGATCGGTTAGAGGCGATCAATAGTTTGGTGTTTATCTGAAATATGTCCATGGAAAGTGAGTTTTTGAGGGATGTAGCTGCAGCAATTACATCCTTACTCAATATGGGCTCAAGAAAGAACGAATCAAGTGTCGTTGGAATTTTTCGAAATAATTTGTCGAGATCGAGGTCATAGTCTGGTAAAGTTTTGATTATCGCTTCGGCTACATTTGAGAAGGAACTATTGAATTCATCTACATCGATAGAACTCTGAACGGCTTCTTTACGAGAATGATTCCTTCCATAATTTATTAATTTCCAAGAATCCCTAATTCTGTTATTTGAATTAAATAAATAATTATTATAAGCATGTTTTTTCGTCTCTGTTATTCTTTCTCTGTATTGTTATAATTTTGATTCAATTTCCTTTATCCAGAAAAACACTTTGATTGTATTGCCATTTCGATAACTTGGGTTGAAGCAAATTCAGATTTTAACAACTGCTGTGGGGCAACAATCGAAATAACGCCGTCTCTGACACGAATCATTGCGCAGATGTGTCAAGGGGCTATCTCCGCCATAATTGATCTCCTATCAGGAAATTCCTTTCTCCTCTGTGTTTTAGTTCTGTGGTTGTTATCCATATTGTTAATAATACGTATATGCATGAAATTCGACTGTCTCTGACGTTAGTGACATTTTACATCTATCAAAATAATCAACATAGAAAATAGATTCCTTTTTTTGTGACGGGAGAAAAGTTTGTCACTTCATCTCTGTTGACAGGTTAAAAAATGTCACTTTCCATGAAATTTTTTCAAGGGAAAAGTCGGGCATCAAACTTCACACGCGGAAGGAAATGGATACCTTTGCTCCCTTGATATATTAATAGCTATTACCTACTACCAAAAACGCTAATTATTAAATCGCAAATAGTAAACATTCTTTGGATTACTGATACATTGAGAATATGTAACGAGCAAGCGTTGCGTTCTCGGTTGTCACTCATTCTGCGAACTATCAACTTTGACGCGTTAATTTCAATTTGAGATAAAAATTTATGAACAGTAAAAACACAAGAGCTTTTTTCTATTGGATGAACTTCTCCTTACGAAAAAAATTTGCCAATCAGTGATTTTACAGGTCGAGCAATTTTGTTAGTATTTCTTGTCCAATTGGAAAAAACTCCAGTGTTTTTTGTCGAGATGAATCACGACAATGAACAAATAAACAACAATAATGATTACATCTATTGATTGGATTGACATCAATTCAGATATAGAAATTGCGGCAAATGAAGCAATTTGAACTTCAGTACCCGCGCTATATTCGTGTTCAATTAGTTCTTCTTTTTTCGAATAAGCAACTGAAATATGAAATTAATATTTTACTTCAAAGCAGTAGTGCTGTGAAGTAACACTTCAACACATTAGTGCGATAAAGTATCTCATAACCAAATTGAGATCAGTTTCGTAATGTTTCACATTACATATTGGTAGTAGGTAAATAACTATTCGTGTTAGAAAAAAAGGGATTGAAATCGGTTCAGAAAAGTTAAAACGCAATCTCGTTAGTGTGACATCTTCGATGAAATCCATATTTCCATTTTGAATGTACCACACTTGTGTTTCTGTTTTAGGGGTGGGGTGTATACTCCAGGAGCTGCGTTTGCAGATACGTCTATGAGGCAATTATTGGACCAAAATGGATTGACGTTCGGGATTCTTTCCAAGAAAGCTATTTAATGTTATTTTCTTACAATGTCTCATATTGTCATATTGTAATATAGAAAAGAATTCGAGTACATAAATGCATGTAAGTAGTTGGCTATCCTGAGTTTTTATTTCACGACGGCAAATTCTTTGTTTCTTTTAATCTTGATTTTTATTTTTATAAACAAACCTTTGGCACTCTCATGGGAGCCTCAATTACTCCAATTCTAGCTGCTTATGTGATGGATAATTTACTTGACACAGTTATACCTGTACTACCTTTTGAATCACCTTTTATTAAAAAATATGAAAATGACATAATCTTAGCCCTTCCACAAGATGGTAATAATGAGATTCTGGAAACTTTTAATAACTATGATCCCTATATATCCAATTCCCTTTCGAAACTGAGAGCAACCAAAATGCTGTACCCTTTTTGGACACTGTTCATAAGACAGCCAGACAACACAGTGCTTATAGATTGGTATAGGAAACCCTGCAGCTCTGGTCGTTATCCAAATTATGCTTCATACCACAAACATGGCATGAAGGTAAATTTGATTCAACAAATGAAACAACGAGTTATCCAGATCTCTGATACTTCCTTTCATCAAAAAAATTTGAAAATGCTACAGAATGCATATCCCAGTTCCCTGGTCAAAAAATTCCATTCAATACCTCTGAAGCAAAAATTGTACATACTGACAATGAATTGTTTCAAAATAGTGTCATGGTGGCTGATGCCCCTCCAATTAATTGAATTTATGCCTCCCGAGCATATATGAAAGGAATCACACCCAAACTAACTAGAATTTTCAGAAACTTACATAATATCAAAAAAGAAAGCAAAACAATCTTACCTATCAGAACCATTTACTCAACTGAAAGACAGTGTTCCCACACTCTCACGAACGAATGTAGTCTACTCCATTCCATGTCAGGATTGTGACAAACAATGTATAGGTCAACCCTAGTCTACTCCATTCCATGTCAGGATTGCGACAAACAATATATAGGTCAATCAAGAAGGTCCTTAGCAGATAGGATCTCCATTCTCCTCTCACAAAAGTGATAGTAGACTGCGTCCGGAAAGAAGTATGTACGTTGGCAAAACATGTAAATAGTATGGATCACATTATGGATTATGGTGCAGTGAGGATTCTAGCAACTGAATCTAACAGAACTAAAAGCAAAAAATCTCTGGTAGTAGTCCATGCTCAAATTGGAGGTGATGAGATTATTGAGAGAGCAAACTTCAATGTTTTGTGTAATTGATAAATGACATTTGACACTTGTCACTTGTTTGTCAAAACATAATTATTTCTATCTACCATTTTTATCTTTCGAGTCGAGTAGTCTGACGGTTTGTTTACTTCATACTCGCGCCATTTGCTTCACACTATGATATATAGTATTTTGATACATAAAAAAGCATCTTGAGAAAAATGTTTATCTGGGGGTTCAAAAAACCAAAATTCGAAAATGTTTTTTAAAATTATTTGAGGCCTAATACCCGTGTGAACTATGTTATCAATTTAATAGTTTCTTTTCTCCTCCTACCTAGCAAGGTAAGTCACCCATTTCCCAATAGTGATGGAACTTCTTTTATTTATAAGTTTTTTGTATTTTAGCCTGATGATGACTCATTGGAGTCGAAACATGTAGCACGTATTATGTTATTCAAATTTACTTGGACCAAGACTTTGAGTTTGTTCTCTTAATCAGAACTAGAAGAACTTCCAGAGAAATGGCTCACATATCCCAGGTCTCTAATGGTATAAACAAACGTACAGACTTCAATCATTTGAGTGGAATTTATTCTTACCTACTTTCAATTGATAACGCGCAATTGACCATTACATAACCATAATAGTTCCATCCTATCGAGAATTACAGTTCATCAATGTTGACGTTTTTCAACAAATTCTCAACCTTATGCGGAAATTATACTCATCAACATAGTAACAATCTCTTCTTCTTCTTCATGAACTAGCTGAGAACTACAATAGTTATAGACCATAAGAACACACCTGTCAATTGACACACAAAAAATCCTCTATTTTGTGAAAGGGAAGAAACAGACATTCCTAAACTGAAAGAATTCAAAGAATTTGAAGAATGTGAATAATGTGACTTGCGGAAATCTATTTTTTTAACCAATTTTGAAATCTTAGATGTACAACAAAATAAGTAACAGTTAAATTTAGATGTACAAATGTTTGTCTCCTATGTGTCTACATATTCAATTTTACCCAATATGTTACCGTTTCATTAACAATTTTATATAAAACAACGTTGTAACCAACCTCACTAAAAATGTATGTACAAGGCATTGCTATAGTGTTTTTCCCAATGTATTCACACTCTTCAATCATTGTAGCATTCCTGATGATGGAAATAAACATTTCCGAAAGCTTGGATAAACTTTCAAGAGTATTCCTTTTACACTGCTGCTAGCCCCAATATACACTGGTTACTGTTTTCATTCCTTCTGGTCAGCAACGACTTCCCTTTCATACAGGGTGTTTCAAATAAACCTAACCCCCTTGCTAGGGTAGGTAGAACATTGCAAAATAAGTTGGGTTTGCTCAGTGAAAAAATGTCGTAACGGCATCCGTTTTCATGATACAAGGTGTTGAAAAAATAATTTTTTCACACATTTTTCACGATTATTCCGAAACTACTGGCAACATTGTGATGAAATTTTGTATGGATGTTTCTTGAAATCTAACACATCGCATGAATTTGTTTTTATATCTGACCCTCATAGAGGGCGCTAGTTACAGGGTTCGTACCGAGTAGTTTTGAACATAACTTTTCTGAGGTTAGATTTTTCAATCCAAATATGGTATGAAATTGAGCATCATTCAATTTTACACCAAAAAGGTACTCCTGGTGAAACTCGATACTATGTTCCGTTTTCGGAATATTTCGATTTGAAAATAATGGAGTAGTAATGATGCTGGTATATAATGAATTTTATTGAGTTGAATTACCTATTTATTCAGGTTCAAAAACAATAAAATCATTCTTGTGCTGAAGTTATCGATGGAACAAAGAATCATGAGTAGAAAATTAATAGATATTTGACTAGAAACATGAAATATTGAATCAGTTAGAGTAAGTGTTCAAAATGTCCTACGTTTCGAGGAATAGACGAATCTATTTCTTTTTTAAGAATGTATTATTTTTCTGAACAGTTGAGGATCAGCTGTTAGGTCATTTGAGTGATTTTCAATTATGTCTCACAACTCTTGACGTGAATTTACCTATGTAGCATAGACTTTCTGCTCAAGATACAACAAAACTGTATAATCCATGTTCTTAGTCAAATCTGTTTCGATGTTATTCTTGTGATTCATTGTTGAATCAATGAGTTTTGCATTAGAAATGTTTTGTTGTTTTCGGTTTTCAATAAATAGGTGATAATTTTTCATAATACTCTCTCTGATACATAGCTTTATACCAGCAACAGTTACCACTTCATCATTTTCAAATCGAAATATTCCGAAAACGGAACACAGTATCGAGTTTTACCAAGAGTACCTTTTTGGTGTGGAATTGAATGATGTTCAAGTTCACATTAAATTTGGATTGAAAAATCTAACCTCAAAAAAGTTATGTTCAAAACTACTCGGTACGAACCGTGTAACTAGCGCCTTCTATGGGTGTCAGATATAAAGACAAATGCATGCGATGTGTCAGATTCCAAGAAACATCCATACGAAATTTCATCAAAATGTTGCCAATAGTTTCAACATAATCGTTAAAAATGTGTAAAAAAATATTGTTTCAACACCTTGTATCTTGAAAACGGATGGCGTTACGAAATTTTTTTACTGAGCAAACCCAACTTATTTTGCAATGTTCTACCTACCCTAGCGAGGAAGTTAGGTTTTTTTGAAACACCCTGTATATATATATATATATATAGAAAACTATGTTTTAGGAAAACAGCTAAATCTCTATTTTCCTTGAGGTTGCAGTCAAAGGGAATGGCCAATGTAGAGACAAGACTCTTTGTTAAATTGTCGAGCTTCCGAAAAATTTTATTTTCATTATCAAGACATCTGAAAATTAAAGATCCATTATAAGCATGGTATCTTGTATGAAAACATGAAACAACTTACTAACTTGAGTGGTTACATGGAAAACAGCTAATGCACATCATAGTTACTTTAAAACACTGCACTATTTTTGAAAACATATTAAAAATTATTAAAAAACATTACATTACAAGTCTTATAAGAACCTTACTGGTCCTGTGAAACTTTGTCAAGAAAATGAGCACATGGTGTTCGACCTTCACAAGTTCCAAACGGAAGTAGATGTGACGTTTAGAATTCAAAAATGTGGGAGGAGCTATGTCAAAGCCGAACGACGTGTGTTCACTGTCAAAGGTCAATGTCATTCATGAAAACAAGCGGTTAATTTGAATTTGAAAACTAATGATTAGATTTGTTTTGAAAAGTAAGTAGATAACTATAAATTGTACTGAGGTTTGCAATATCTGATCGTTTATTCATACACGTAGGTTCGTTGTTTATATGTACCATTTCTAAGAAAGTTCTTTTTTGATAACTGGTTTGTGATTCTAAAATTTTAATATTCGTAAAATTTCCAAAATGATTAAATTTAGTGGTGTGTTCTGAGAGTGCACATCTTGTTTTTTTCAAATTACAATCACTTTTATGAGACGTAATGCGACCTTGTAAATTCCTTCCTGTTTGTCCTATATAAACCTGATCACAGTTGAGACAGGGAATACTATAAATGACATTGGAGCTTTCCAGTGTTGTCAATGGAGTTTTGATTTTACTGTGTAAGGAATATTTGGTTTTTTTTTTCTTGCAATACGGAGTTTGTCAGATTTGAAAACATTGGTTAGTTTTGATGTAAGTTCTTCGATATAAGGAAGTGATCTATATGTAATTTGTATAGGTTGTATTGGGAGTGATTGATTAACATTTGGATCACTGTTTGGAGATTGATATTGTGGCAAAATAGGCTGGTCTGAATTAAATAAAATTTTGTTAATTAAATTTGTTGGATATGAATTTTCTTTTAAGATGTTTCTCAGTTCCTTGAGACCGTCCAATCGAAAAGTTGGATGTGAGA